CACCTCTCTAGCTGGAAGCAGCTGCCTGCCGATACTTAGTATGGAGCATCCTGACAGTGAGGAAGTTTGTTTTGGGCTTCTTGCTCCTAGGCCTCCTTCCCTTGCAAAAAGTGAAGGGGCTTTTTATGGTCTCCCTAGCAGAAGACATGCTTTTAAGTTGAAACTTTCTAAGTCTTCTTAATAAGATTTTTAAAAAGGTAAAGAACTATATTCAACCCCTTTATCAGTTAACATTGTTAAACTAAAGCATGCTTGACTTAAATTGTCTCATTAAAGCTGTGCCCTTGAGCACCATCTGGAGTCTTACAAAGCAGCTGCTGCTGGCAGGTCATGCATACGAGTGTTCTGTGGACTCTTGCCACTTGGATGACAGCTTCAGACCAACTCTCATAGGCTCACTTGAGAACATGTGCAATGAGTAATATGAATACAATTTGGTATTATGACTTTGTGTTAGAAATACTGGCAGAAATCAGTTTACCTCCAGGACATTGAGCTTAATGATGCCATCTCCATCTTTATCAAAGGCGTGGAATGCCCCTGAAGGAAGGAAACAAAAGTATATGGAGTAGGTAAATTACTCTGTGTGTAGAGATGATCCCAGACAGAGAACCAAATTGTGCTCCTGCTATGTTACACAAACTTGTGCAGGAATTTACCAGTGTGGTCAGCAACTTTTTCTGCTGTGTTTGTCCATAGCTAATACAAGGAGAAATGCAGTCGTTTCTTTTGAGATGGCTGTCATGTCATAGGTTCCCTAGGCACATCTCTTCAATTATGTGTACTGCATAGAGGCAGTAATGCTTCAACAAACTTTACTTGGAGTGCAACAGTGCGTTTTGGGCATGAGGGGAGGAGGCAGCAGGGTAAAACAAGGGCAGGCACTCACTGAACATGGCGTCCAGGCGCACGAAGCAGCAGATGAAGCTGTCAAAGTCAATGTTCATGTTCTTGTCGGCGTAGCGCATGGTGATGATGTCGTAGAGCTGGTTGTTCAGCCGAAACCCTGCCGAGGACCAGAAACAGAGCACAGCTGGGCCGTGAGACACGAAGCAAGAAGAGTCAAGAGCCTCTCTTTGCAGGACAAATTTCATTAACTGCAACTTCTGCAAAAATACTTTCTTCTTACTGCACAGGTTGAAGAGGAGACTGAGCCCTCAGTGATTTAGGGCCACTAAGAAACATGAGCAGGACTCAAGAAATGTCCATGCACTTGCCTCTGATACAAACTTGGACATTGACCTGCTCTGCCTCCGTTTCAGTGCCTGTACACTTGGGTTGAAGGTTTTCCACTCTTCTTTGATTGTTACTTACACAAACGTAAAGAAGCCACAGCTTAAATGAGAGCAAATGTCTTCAGTGCTCCCTGATCCCCCTGAACAGCAGGACACCAAGTAGGAGATTCTTAAGACAGCAGAGCATCATTCATTGGAAAGTTTAAAGAGCTGAAGAGATGCATTTGGTTGGCAAGACAGAAAAGATTTGCTGTTTGGATATTTGAGATGCTCTGTTGGGGAAAAGGGATTTTTT